CATGGACACGGGTACAGGCGAAGGCAGCAGTGGAGCTAGCGGCGGCTTCAATAGTGTTAGCAATCTCAAAATGGACTCCAAGGTACGATCCCTGGCAGATGCATTTGCTGCATCAACGTCGGCGGCTGCGGCCATTGCTGGACTAATGAATTTGAAGCGTGAAACGGATCCACATGCTGCCGAAGGCAGCACTCCCATCCTCACCCACAGCACTGTCTCAGCATCCAAGGCTAGTGACAATGAGATCGCCGACAAGTACAAGAACATATGGAAGGACAAGACGCCCAACCTGAAGCATTGCGTCAGCATCACGCCCATTGCCGGCGATGGCAAGTCCCCTCTACAGCAGCAGGTGGATGTGCAGCGCACAGGAGGCATTGAGATCATACCACTGAATGCACCAGCCAGCGTTGTAGCCACGCCCAGCACGGAGTCCCCAGCCACCACGATCACCATAACGCCTATCACTGGAGTTAGCAAAGAGGGGAGCAAGGAGCCGAAAAAGCCAGTAATCAGTGGAAGTGCCACTAAGCGGCCCCATGAGAGCAGCTCCTCTTTGTCTGCCTCCTCGAACTCGAGCAGCAGTAGCAACAGCAGTTCCTCCAGCGACACGCAGAAGGAAAAGAAGCGCAAGAAGAAACGAGATGACTCGCCCATGGGCCCTCCCGAGAAGGTATACTCACGCCAGAACTCGCCTGCGGGTGGCGGCATGACGGATGCCACGGCAGGGAGCGGAGTTGTCCGCAAGTTCTCTTCGCCTTCAGCTTCATCTTCCGGAACTGGAGCTGTTTTGGCCCTTATGTCCGGCCAGCCCTCGGCGCGCCCCAGTCCGAAGCACTCGCCTGTCTACAGCAGTCCCAAGCACAACAGCAACAGTAACACCGCTTCGAACAGCCCCAAGTCGCCTTTCGGAACCCTCTCGCCCAAGCATGGATCCTCCGGGAAGCCGAGCATGTCCACGCTCAAAAGTGCGACAGCGGCCACCAGCCTTAGCCTCAGTCCCAAGGCTGAAAAGTCAATCACAGCAGGTGCCGGGGGTGGTTCCCTTTCTCTGGCAACTGCGGGCTCCGCCTTAAGCTCGAATGCTAATCCTTCAATGATGCGGCCCGTGCCACCGCTGGCCAGCAGCAGCAGCCAGTTGCCCGCAGCCATAAAAAAGGACAAGCCAATCGCCAGCAGCTCACCATCTGGTCCCCCACCGGGGGTCGCAGCTGCGGTAGCCGCACTCAAGAGCGCCCAGCAGCAGCAGCAACTGAAGTCATCCGTGGCTAGTTTATCTCATCTGGCTGCGGGTGGGAATCTGAGCAGCTATGTGGCTCCAGCCGTGACCGCCTTGGAGCTGAATGCATTGCGCAAGGGAATGGCGGGAGCGGGAGTGGGACCGGGATTGGGCGCAGCTGCGGGAGCGGTAGGTGCGGTAAGTCCGTTTTCAATTTATGAGTAGCTTTCGTTGTTTACCCACCTCCGCCTCCCACTGCACCTCTAACAAACAGTTGATTCTTTGTTTCTATTTTTGCATACAACTAAAACATGAACTCTAAAACTTATATTTGAATGCGACATGTATAATGAATTATTGTAATAACTTATGTATATTAAGACTAGCGGGTAACTAGCTTTGCGCGGTCTAAGATGTAACTTCAAATCTCTAAAGATCGATTGGATAACAACAAAAAGATGCAATCAAAACTTTTTTTTCCTTAGGGTGGAAATTCCAAATGCGCTGAAACACGTGTGCATTTTTCTTCTATGGTGGGCTTGTATAAAAAAAGTTAGAAGCTGATTGGGCCATGCTTTCCTCCGCAGAATTAATTTTCACATGGATCCTGTAAAATTCGTTAGAAAAATGTAGATCGGACAAAAAACATTAATTGGTATTGAACAATTTTCGCTCGGAAGAATGTCAAAACTTTGCCCACACAAGCTTAGACTCTAATTTTTTTCACCAGTGGGAAAGTTGAATCTCTATCATCAATTAAACGGTTTTTTACAGTTGCAGATGGAATTTTGCATAGCTCCGTTAAGAGTAAAACAAGTCAGCTTCCTAATCAGTTAGTCAGGACAATAGTCAAATATGTAGAATTTTATAACTTTTATCGCTGCTGTAGTTTTTGATTTGCCGTATGTTCTGTTTGTAAATATATTTACTTGTATAGTCTATTTTCTAACTGCATCCGTTTTTATTTGATCTTGTTATTCCTGTTATGGGATCTATTTTGTATGTGACCCCTAGTTTGATATCAAATAAGTATAATACGTAGATCCTCTACACCTTGCCCGATTTTCTTGCTATTTCAAGCATTCAGATGATTCTTTTTCATGTGAAATGTTCTTTGAAACAACTCTTGGTTTATTTGGCACCTTCTCTTTGCATTTCTTATAAAGGGTTTATGGAACAACTGATAAACTTTATACTAACGAGTTTCTCTTCTCTCCCGCTCTCTCTTGAACACTCGCTGCTCCGTTCGCATGATCCGGGATATGATTAACCCACAATCGCCACTGTGCCACTTTTTGATACGTTCTTCTTTTGATTGATTGCTTTAATTTGCTTTCTCGGTTCGTTTTTCATTTGTTTGTCTCCGCCTACACTCACACACACGTACACTCACATGCACACCACCACGCGCTTCCTTTGTCAGGCTAGTTTGATGACGTCGACGGCAGCTTCGACGACAATCATCCAAACCACAACAACAGCAGCAGCAACAACTCTAGCGGATTCATCGGGCACAGCAGCATCAGCAACATTAGCAGTGGAAACGGAAGTGGGAACATCAATTGCAACAATAACACAGCAGCAGCAGCCGCAGGGACCAGCGCCACATAGGAGCGACAACTGCAGCTCCAGCTCTACTAGCAGCAGCTCCATTGCGGGAGCAGTCTCTGACCTCTCCACGGGGTACATGGTGAAGCCGAGTAGCCAAGAGGGCCTCAAACTGACCATCAATAAAACGGGCAGCGGAAAGAGAGAGAGCAAGGGGGTAACAACTGGCTCCTCGTCGTCGTCGTTGTCCTCGGCTAGCAGCAAGAAGCAGCACACGGGATTGAAGCCAGGCGTTAACAGCGGACCGGCCTCAAAGAAGGCGCTTTCATCAGCTTCAGGCACAGGGTCAAGCAGTTCCAGCAAACACCTCTTCCAAAAGGCCAATTCTTCCGGCAATCTAAGTAGCAAACTAGGCGGCTCCTCCACTTCAGGCGGTGGCCTTCCGTTGACCAAGAGCAATAGCACCAACTCCTTCCAGGAACACAGTGTACCCAGGCGCCGACCCAGCATGTGCAGCCCGGGTAACACTAGTGGAGGCGGAGTACATCGCAAGCCATCATTAGCGGCCTCTGGCTCAGGACCAGGATTGGGGGCAGGAAGAATGTCACCAGCAGCGTTGACCGGGTCGATGTCACAGCCGCCGCCTCGCTTCGATCACCACACGGACATGATGACCATTCTACAATACGCATCGCCCACCATGGCAGCCAGCATGGAGGGCTTCATCAAGAGACTGCATAACAGGTTTCAGATACCCAAATTGTCTCAGCGGCCAAGTGGAAACAGCGTCGCAACTGGACACACTACAGAGCAGGTGTCAGCAACGGCAGCATCTTCCTCCTCATCCGCATCCACATCCTCCTCGCAGGAGCAGCAACAGCTTAATGCAGACTTGAGTGCTCTGGCATCCAGTCTAACAGCTACGCCCAGTAGCAGCAGTGGAGCGCAGAAGCCATCGACAGCTCCTTCCCCTGCTGCAAGCGATATGCTACTCAACTTGAGCAGCAGTGAGGCAGTTGGGCCAGGTGCTGATGGCATTGACGAGGAGCTGCTCGCCAGCTTGGCAGGCGAATGACATTTCGAGCTGCATCTTCAACTCGCTGCAATCTCAACTTAGTTCAATTAATGTGTTAAAGGCCTTTGGCTGAACTCTGACTGTGAGCTGTTGTATCTTTTTTACTTGTCAAATAGGATAAGAAAAACATATTAACAATAAATATTTAATACACATTAATATGTGCATGAATATCTGGATAATTGATTTTTGGAAAATTGCACCCGCAAATGTAGAAAATTGATCAAAATGTGTTTTAGCTTCCGATCAGGCGTATGCTTGGTGAAAATCCAATTGATATATGTACATATGTACATTTCACATATTTTGCAAAATGCATCTTGATGAAAATGGGACCCAAAGTTGTATGGCTAAATATTAATTTGCTTCTAGTCGGATCCAGTCAAAACAAATAAATGTGTATGAGCATAGTGGAGACGGATAATTCAATCTCGGAATTAACGACCACGCTGAACGCCTTTCCCTTCGGATAAAGGCAGAACTTGTCCTCTTGCCAAATGAATACCTATATTACTTTTCGCTGCGCTGAAGATTTAAAATATATTTTTAATGTTTCCTTTCTCTGCGATTCTCATGAACTCATGTGGGCTTTGCAGGTCTTTGTCTTTAAGCATCGACAGTGAGTAGAATGTTGCATTAACAGGTGCGTTGTGAGACCAATTATATTTTTGCGTGTCATATATCATATACAGATGTATGCGTATGTTTGTATATATAGATACACGTAAGTCCTCGTGTGTCAAGTGCAGGCCAAGTTCCCTTACTAAAAAAATATTCAACTGGTGCCCTTCTATGTGGACAAGGGCGTGCAATTCCCGCATGCTTTCGTCTTTCATTCTATTATTTCTCTTTCCAGCTCTTAGTATAAGCCTAAGTAGAACAGTAACAGAAAATCAGATGGAAATAAAGATGTAAATAAATATCAATATCCACACAACAGGAAAATCCAAATAATTTAATATTGATTTCGAATTCAGTCAAGCCCGCAAGTTGATTCACAATATACAGTGGACGATAAATTTCAGAGGTATTGATAGAGATACTAAACTATCGAATCAGATTGATGAATAACACGATAATTCAATGTTTGATGTGTGTTCTTAGCTCTGGTAACACTCAAATGCAAGTGCGCAACATGTGGTATTTTTTTCTTGTCAGTTGAAAAACCTTATTTGTGGTTTGTGGTTCGACCGCTGAGTGGGCCGGAAAATATAAAGAAAAAAAATGTCAAGCAACTACGAAGGATACAAGTCGCCATTGAGCACACGCTATGCCAGCAAGGAGATGCAGTTTTTGTTCAGTGATCAGAACAAGTTCTCGACTTGGCGGCAGCTGTGGGTTTGGCTAGCTAAGGCAGAGCATACGCTTGGGTTAGACATAACCGAAGAACAAATAGCACAAATGGAGTTGCACATTAAGGACATCGATTTCGAGGCAGCGGCCGCCGAGGAGCGTCTCACGAGGCACGATGTTATGGCACACGTACACGTCTTTGCCAAGCAGTGCCCGGCGGCAGCACCAGTCATTCACCTGGGTGCTACTTCATGCTATGTGGGCGACAACACGGATCTCATTGTGCTGCGCGATGCATTGCAGCTTCTATTGCCACGCGTGGCAACAGTTGTAGGGCGCCTTCGGCAGTTTGCCGAGACTTATAGAGCCCTGCCGACATTGGGATTTACGCATCTGCAGCCAGCGCAGCTGACTACAGTTGGTAAACGCGCTTGTCTGTGGATACAGGACCTACTAATGGACGAGCGTGCCCTGGGTCGCTGTCTCGAGGATCTGCGCTTTCGCGGCGTAAAAGGAACCACCGGTACGCAGGCTTCGTTCATGGAGCTCTTCAATGGAGATAGCCAAAAGGTGAAACAGCTGGACACGCTAGTAACTAAGCTGGCAGGCTTTAGCAAGCCCTATGCCGTCACCGGGCAGACATATACACGCAAAGTGGACGTCGAGGTGATGGGTGCCCTGGCCAGCCTAGGGAGCAGCATACACAAAATGTGCTCTGATCTGCGCATTCTAGCTTCGCGCAAGGAGATCGAGGAGCCCTTCGAGAGCACACAGATTGGCTCGTCTGCGATGCCATATAAACGTAACCCGATGCGTTCGGAACGATGCTGTGCCTTGGCTCGCCATCTGATCACGTTGTTCAGCAATGCGGCGAATACGCACGCCACACAGTGGCTGGAGCGCACTCTGGATGACTCAGCTAACAGGCGGTTAACGTTGTCGGAAGGCTTCTTGTCTGCTGATGCGGCTCTGCTTACGCTTCTAAATATCACCCAGGGACTGGTGGTCTATCCGAAGGTCATAGAGAGGCACATTGCTCAGGAGCTACCATTCATGTCCACGGAGAATATTATCATGGCAATGGTTAAAGCCGGTGGCGATCGCCAGGTGTGCCACGAGAAGATACGCATTCTCTCCCAAGAGGCCGGTGCTCAGGTCAAGCAGTTTGGCAAAGACAACGATCTGGTGGAGCGCGTACGCAACGACTCATACTTTGCGCCCATTCTGGATAAACTGGACCACATTCTGGATGCACGCACTTTTACTGGCCGTGCCAGCGAACAGGTGGGCGAGTTCATTGCCGAGGAGGTGCAGCCCGTGCTAGCCCGCTACAGCGACGCCCTCAAGAGTGTCCAGAATGTACAGCTAAATATCTAAAAATAATTGTTCCATCATTTTTGTAATCCTTTAAGCTCAAAGCTATTAAACACATTCACATATTTTGTTATGACGTACATATTTCTTTACTGCTTTAGAGGGTTATCGTACTTTCTCATGAAATGAATAACACATAGAAGACATCTCCAAGCCTATAAAGTATATACATATATATATATATCCACGATCCGTATCAACAATCTAGTGAGTAGGACAATTAGAGAGTTTAACTCTTCTCACATATGGGCAAATCCGTACTGGGTGTGTATAGAGGGTATTTAATCTTTAACGAAGTTGATTGTTTTTCCTGTTTATTATTTCCTTGTGTTTTGGAATTCAACCGCCCCACCCCCCTAAAGCACCACTTCATTACGGTTATCACTGCAGTTCTCTGACCCGTGGACCCCCAATGCGATTCATATTTATTTCGCGTGTCTGACGTACTAATGTAATTGAGAGCTGGAAATCACAAGCCTCCAACAGTTAACATCGCCTAGATTCGTAAGTTGCATCAGATAAGACCTACATTTGTTTACACAATTTTCTAACTGCAGAATACATGAAAATGTAATTTCTTGTCTATTCAAATTTCGTATTATTATCGCTTGCTTTTACCATAGTTATATTGAATTTAATAGATTTATATACTTAAATTAATACAGAATTTCTTTCAGTTAAGGCAGCAGCTTTATAAACCCATTTAATATTTACACCTTAAACTATTAAAGAACAGCTTCTCGTCATTGTTTAGCCCAAGGCCTTTAACACATCAATTGAACTAAATTGGGATTGCTGAGAGTGGCGGGTGCAGCTCGAAATGTCATTCGCCTGCCAAGCTGGCGAGCAGCTCCTCGTCAATGCCATCAGCACCTGGCCCAACTGCCTCACTGCTGCTCAAGTTGAGTAGCATATCGCTAGTGGCTGGGGAATGAGGTGTCGATGGCTTCTGCGCTCCACTGCTGCCACTGGGCGTAGCTGTTAGACTAGATGCCAAAGCGCTCAAGACTGCATTAAGCTGTTGCTGCTCCTGCGAGGATGTTGTGGATGTGGATGCGGATGAGAACGAAGATGCAACTGCTGTTGCTGACGCCTGCTCTGATGGGCTAGCAGTGTGTCCAGCTGTGCCGCTGTTGCCACTTGGCCGCTGAGACAATTTGGGTATCTGAAACTTGTTCTGCATTCCCTTGATGAAGCCCTCCATACTGGCTGCCATGGTGGGCGATGCGTATTGTAGAATGGTCATCATGTCCGTGTGCTGATCAAAGCGCGGCGGCGGCTGTGACATCGACCCGGTTAACGCTGCTGGCGACATTCTTCCGGCTCCCAATCCTGGTCCTGAACCAGAGCCCGACGCCGATCCAGAGGATGCTAATGATGGCTTGCGATGCACTCCGCCTCCACTAGTGTTACCCGGGCTGCACATGCTGGGTCGGCGCCTGGGTACACTGTGTTCCTGGAAGGAGTTGGTGCTATTGCTCTTGGTCAACGGAAGGCCACCGCCCGAAGTGGAGAAGCCGCCTAGTTTGCTACTTAGATTGCCGGAAGAATTGGCCTTTTGGAAGAGGTGTTTGCTGGAACTGCTTGACCCTGTGCCTGAAGCTGATGAAAGCGCCTTCTTTGAGGCCGGTCCGCTGTTAACGCCTGGCTTCAATCCCGTGTGCTGCTTCTTGCTGCTAGCCGAGGACAATGACGACGACGATGAGGAGCCAGTTGTTACCCCCTTGCTCTCTCTCTTTCCGCTGCCCGTTTTATTGATGGTCAGTTTGAGGCCCTCTTGGCTACTCGGCTTCACCATGTACCCCGTGGAGAGGTCAGAGACTGCTCCCGCAATGGAGCTGCTGCTAGTAGAGCTGGAGCTGCAGTTGTCGCTCCTATGTGGCGCTGGTCCCTGCGGCTGCTGCTGCTGTGTTATTGTTGCAATTGATGTTCCCACTTCCGTTTCCACTGCTAATGTTGCTGATGCTGCTGTGCCCGATGAATCCGCTAGAGTTGTTGCTGCTGCTGTTGTTGTGGTTTGGATGATTGTCGTCGAAGCTGCCGTCGACGTCATCAAACTAGCCTGACAAAGGAAGCGCGTGGTGGTGTGCATGTGAGTGTACGTGTGTGTGAGTGTAGGCGGAGACAAACAAATGAAAAACGAACCGAGAAAGCAAATTAAAGCAATCAATCAAAAGAAGAACGTATCAAAAAGTGGCACAGTGGCGATTGTGGGTTAATCATATCCCGGATCATGCGAACGGAGCAGCGAGTGTTCAAGAGAGAGCGGGAGAGAAGAGAAACTCGTTAGTATAAAGTTTATCAGTTGTTCCATAAACCCTTTATAAGAAATGCAAAGAGAAGGTGCCAAATAAACCAAGAGTTGTTTCAAAGAACATTTCACATGAAAAAGAATCATCTGAATGCTTGAAATAGCAAGAAAATCGGGCAAGGTGCAGAGGATCTACGTATTATACTTATTTGATATCAAACTAGGGGTCACATACAAAATAGATCCCATAACAGGAATAACAAGATCAAATAAAAACGGATGCAGTTAGAAAATAGACTATACAAGTAAATATATTTACAAACAGAACATACGGTATATCCAATCAAAAACTACAGCAGCCATAATAGTTATAATAATAATTATATAAATTAATTATTACAATTCATTTAACAGTTCGCATTCAAGTCAAAGTTTTAGTAAACATTTTAGTTGTATGCAAAAATAGAAACAAGGGTTCAACTTTGGGTTAGAGGTGCAGTTGGAGGCGGAGGTGGGCACACAACGAGAGCTACTCATAAATTGAAAACGGACTTACCGCACCTACCGCTCCCGCAGCTGCGCCCAATCCCGGTCCCACTCCCGCTCCCGCCATTCCCTTGCGCAATGCATTCAGCTCCAAGGCGGTCACGGCTGGAGCCACATAGCTGCTCAGATTCCCACCCGCAGCCAGATGAGATAAACTAGCCACGGATGACTTCAGTTGCTGCTGCTGCTGGGCGCTCTTGAGTGCGGCTACCGCAGCTGCGACCCCCGGTGGGGGACCAGATGGTGAGCTGCTGGCGATTGGCTTGTCCTTTTTTATGGCTGCGGGCAACTGGCTGCTGCTGCTGGCCAGCGGTGGCACGGGCCGCATCATTGAAGGATTAGCATTCGAGCTTAAGGCGGAGCCCGCAGTTACCAGAGAAAGGGAACCACCCCCGGCACCTGCTGTGATTGACTTTTCAGCCTTGGGACTGAGGCTGAGGCTGGTGGCCGCTGTCGCACTTTTGAGCGTGGACATGCTCGGCTTCCCGGAGGATCCATGCTTGGGCGAGAGGGTTCCGAAAGGCGACTTGGGGCTGTTCGAAGCGGTGTTACTGTTGCTGTTGTGCTTGGGACTGCTGTAGACAGGCGAGTGCTTCGGACTGGGGCGCGCCGAGGGCTGGCCGGACATAAGGGCCAAAACAGCTCCAGTTCCGGAAGATGAAGCTGAAGGCGAAGAGAACTTGCGAACAACTCCGCTCCCTGCCGTGGCATCCGTCATGCCGCCACCCGCAGGCGAGTTCTGGCGTGAGTATACTTTCTCGGGAGGGCCCATGGGCGAGTCATCTCGTTTCTTCTTGCGTTTCTTTTCCTTCTGCGTGTCGCTGGAGGAACTGCTGTTGCTACTGCTGCTCGAGTTCGAGGAGGCAGACAAAGAGGAGCTGCTCTCATGGGGCCGCTTAGTGGCACTTCCACTGATTACTGGCTTTTTCGCCTCCTTGCTCCCCTCTTTGCTGACTCCAGTGATGGGCGTTATGGTGATCGTGGTGGCTGGGGACTCCGTGCTGGGCGTGGCTCCCACGCTGGCTGGTGCATTCAGTGGTATGATCTCAATGCCTCCTGTGCGTTGCACATCCACCTGCTGCTGTAGAGGGGACTTGCCATCGCCGGCAATGGGCGTGATGCTGACGCAATGCTTCAGGTTGGGCGTCTTGTCCTTCCATATGTTCTTGTACTTGTCGGCGATCTCATTGTCACTAGCCTTGGATGCTGAGACAGTGCTGTGGGTGAGGATGGGAGTGCTGCCTTCGGCAGCTTGTGGATCCGTTTCACGCTTCAAATTCATTAGTCCAGCAATGGCCGCAGCCGCCGACGTTGATGCAGCAAATGCATCTGCCAGGGATCGTACCTTGGAGTCCATTTTGAGATTGTTAACACTATTGAAGCCGCCGCTAGCTCCACTGCTGCCTTCGCCTGTACCCGTGTCCATGGCAAACTGTCCGAAGTTGCTGGGTCCGTGCATACCTCCACCTCCAACCCCGCCTCCTCCTCCAGCGCTACTGAAACCACCAGCTGCCCCGCTGCCTGCTCCGGGGGCAATAGCACCATGCAACTTTTGCTGATGCTCCTCATCCCAGCACTTGAGCAATTTGTATATAACCATCGGTATGGAGAGAACCTGGCGCACTGTTCGAGTGAGCTTCTGGGAGAGCGCTTCGTAATCGTTGCTGAGGCAGTAAATAGTACAGGTCGCCTGGCCGTCCTCAAGCAAAAAGTCGACAGTGGCCAGCGACTCCTCGTACGGATGCTGCAGTTCCACAGTGATCTGATTGAGCGAAACAGCAGTGACCTCCAAAATAACAGTGCTATCCATGTCTGTACCGAATTTAAATTGTTTGTTTTATTACACAATTTATTTTAACTCTCGAGTTCTAATGATATGTTTTATACGCACCGTTGTATTGCTTCTGCTGCTCCCTGACGCAACTGGAGAGAAGCGTGTAGAAGAGCGCCTGCTTCTTAAGGAACGCGATTATCTTAGGCACCTGAGCAGGCTCCGTGAATGGCAGCGACGATATCAGAGTGCCCTTCAGTCTGCGGTTGTCCGTGAAGAAGTAGCAGTGTGTCTCTTTTGGCAAATTAACATACAACCCTTTTTGGGTGCCCTTTATCACCTGCCTGGAGGCCGTTTGCACGATTAGATTCATGACAGTTGTCGTTCCCTCGCTTGACAGGCCCGACAGACCCGGCAAAGACAAAGCACGCAGAGACTCAATGCAAACGGGCATGGCTTTGCTAAGGCGCAGGACATAGGTTGCCGGCATCAGCATTGAGTTGTTCTGGGTA